AAAGCCACCGTTCTGTGTGGAAACACCAAATTGTGGCACAGAAAATGCCAAGCTGGTGCCACCTCCTCTCCCGTCACTGCTGACACATCTCCCACACCAATGGTAGTTTGTCCTTATGTTAAATGAGGAGAAAATACAGACTTTCACACATTAATCCCGGCTGTCGTGCACACCAAGGTTTAAAACCAGAAGCAGCGAGGGCGAAGGGTGTCTCTGAGGGGTGTTGGTGTCCCCGACCCTCCTGACCCGGCTCTCTCTTGCAGGCGCGGTGGCCCGGTGGCGGGAGGAAGGCCGCATCGCTGTCTGGCTGCGTGTCCCCATCCTTCAGAGCAGATTTGTGGCGGGAGACGCATCCTCGCTTCCCAGGGCTTTGCTTTCCACCACGCCGAGCAGGGCTCATCCACCTTGACGCTGTGGCTGGGAGAAGGGCCCAGCAGGCTGCCTGGGTATGCCACCCACCAGCTGGGGGTTGCAGGTCAGTGACAAAAGCGCTTGGACCCATGAAAAAGCCCTTAGGACCAGGTTCTATAGGGGATCGACTGTTCCTCTGCACAACCAAGGCATGGAAACCAGCCTCTTTCTTACTCTCTGGGTAACTGTTTTACAAAGTGAAGCATGTCATTCATGAACGCGCCTGTACAACTGTGCGCATTGCTAAAAAGAGGCCAATAAAGAGGTTTCTCCAAGCTATTCCAGTTTGAGAAAATTGTAAACAGCTCAGGGAGAAGAAAATGAGGTCCCGAAGCTTTAAATTTACCTTACGAATGTTGTTTTTAAACACCGTTTTGAGAAACGTCTCTTGGCTTTCTCCTTGCAGGTCAGACAGGTAGGATTTCAAGCTTCAAGCAATTTTTTAAACCTAGAAAAGTAACTACAGACTTAGAAAAAAATAACTCCTGTGTTTCCTGTCCTTACTGTAGATACTTAATATATGCATCTGCCCAAACGGTGCCTAAGTTCTGTAAATGGGGCAAACTTGACCCAGCAGGGATTGTTCAGGAGCTAGCACAACTCTTAGCCTCAATTACAACAGTCCAAAAGCTGCTCTAAGCTGTGCCTACAAGTCCACAACCCAAACAAGTATATTTTACAAACATCTGGATACCATACTCTTACCCATCTAGACCTCCCACAACAACTGTTGCAAAGGAGTTCCTCTAAAAACTGAGAGAGTTCCTAAGGAACTAGATGGTGACCGATTTTTTTATACAGTACAGTACAAGGAACTGATGATGAGTAAACTTGAACTCAGCTTTTCACCAAATTTGAATGTTTTTGCCCCCTCTCTCTCTCAGCAGTATCTCACAGATACACAATTACATGTCCCATCACTCAGTGATCTCCTGTAATCTGCAGTAGTACCCGTACCTGCCATGTACTGGTACAGGCGATGTAACACTGGGCAGTCACAGCAGAGAGACAGCAAATCTCTCCCATCACAAACTTGACTAGTTTGTCCTTGGCTCACAGATAATTCTTCACCAAGTGATATTAAGATCCATAAATATCCATTTGAAAAAAATCTCGTTAGGAAGGATGCATAAAAACTGATAAAAATGGACTATTCTGTGAAGCAGCAGGACAGGTGGAAGTCAGTTTTGGAAAAAAACAAATCCTTCAAAATACAAAACTGGTGCTGCTACTGTGGGTAGTGGGAGTTTTCAGTGACAAAGCCAGCAGAGGGCAGGGCAGAGGCTGAAGACAGGCTTGGATTTGTTCAATGGACATGTTAGAGCATGTTTTCCTGAGGTATGAAAACCTCACCATTAAAATATGTGACATTAAACTCGAGTAAGATAATGCATTCTTCTAGCAAAAGCACCATCTTACTCCTTATGGTTCTAACTTGCATTTTAAGGAAACACAAGTAACTGAAAGGGGATTTTTCTGAATTAGGTTTTGCGTAGCTGGAAGTGCAATTTAAAAGAAAATCATGTAATAGATGTGTTGTGACCATGATGGTTATTAGGAAGGACTTAATATATAAAAAATCTTAACTTTCAAAGCTCTCAAATAAACATTTGAAAATATGAAAAATGCACTTTCAAAGCGTGATTTGCTGTTGTACTTTGAGATGAACACTTTGCACTCTGCAAGTAGGAAAAAAAATCTGAGAAAAGAAGAAGTTTCATAAATGCAGGTATATGGATTTCATAATTTATTGCACAGATTTAAAAATTGCACAACATAAAATGTACGTATGCTTTGCTACCACTTTTCAAACCTGTGTATTTTTATTCATTATTGTTTCTTTAAAAGAGGTGAAGACTTAAGCAAGGCTTTTGTGCCTTATTGTGCAGGTAAACAAACAGATTTCTGTGTGCAATATTTTTTTTTTCCTCTGTTCCACTCACTCTCTGAATCTGGAACACATTCCAAGGTGTCCCTGCTGATGGCAGGGGGGTTGGAACTGGATGATCTTTAAGGTCCCTTCCAACCCAAACTGTTCTGTGGTTCTATGATTCTGTGAATACACTAAGTAGTGTGGAGACCACCTGGCATGTATTTATTCCATTATCTTTCTACTTAAGGAGTGAGAGCCTGGGTAGTGGAAGGGCCTTTATTGTATTTTTAATTCATTTTAATTCATTTTATTGAAACATTCAAATTTGAAATATCAAAAATTCATTATAATTCATTTTACTGAAATATTAATTTTTAAAAAGATGTACATTTATATTGTGTGCATGTGCCAAACCCTAGGCATTTTTATTTCCTGCACAAAAAAATTTGTATTTTAGAAGGTTTCTGCAGCAAAGAGGGGCAAATCTGCTGATGAGAGTCTTCATCTCAAAGCTCTGGCCGGTTAAGCAGAGGACTTAGGCCCTTGAGCATCCTGAAAATAAAAAGTGGAGATGTAGAGAGTGCTTTCCTAGCCTGCAGGAAGCCCGCACAGGGAGCAGGCCCAGGTACTGAGCCTGCATTGCCAAGTAGACCAGCAGCTGGTTTTTGTCCTGTCTGGAGTTTCCCACAGAGCGAACGCTGCGCAGCCAGGGCTGGTGCCTCAGCATCACCCAGCCAAGCGATGACAAAGGTGTGAATAAGCAAGGTCAGGTCATATTTTGCCAGACTGGATCGGAGTCGCCAAGCAGAGAGTAGCAAACGTTACTCATTGGGCTTGGCCATTATTGTTTAGAAATAGTGGAATATGTGATGTGCCTTCCAACTAACTTACTGCATCCGTTTGTAGGCGGCAGGATTTTCCAAATGTGAAAGAAAAAAAAAAAATTACAGAAAAGCTTCGGGTGTATGAAATGATTAAGATGTTTTTAAAAAACATTTCCAAATTTCTCCACCTTCTAGGAGGATGTGGTCTGACATACAGAAAGTGATGTGTTTGTAAACGTGCCACATTAACAGTGGCAGCAGAAGACAAGTTCAGGAAGGAAAGTAAAAGGAGAAGAAGAAAAGTAAAAGTCATTCTCTTCTCCCGCATGTGTAGAATAAGCCTTACAACACGGCTGTCACTTTCATTGCTGCCTGCCTTAATCTAGTCGTTGAAACAAAGTCTTTGGAGTTGAAGGGACAGAAGGGTCTCCACAGCTCATACACACACAGGATCATCAGCCTTGGCCAGTCCTGGCTCTTAAGGAAATGTGAAAAATGAGCAGCTGCATAAGTCAGGCGGCACAGGAAGCTGGAGTTAGATAGGTTATGATGGTCCAAGCAATCAGGAGCGATTTAAAAGCAGTTCACTTTTACAAAGTAATGTCTAGTCCTGGCTGCTGATGTTTACAATGCAAGCACTCGTGTGTGTGCTCATTACATGGATGACAAGTGCTTTTCAACTCTCATCATGCTTTCATACATGTTTACATCAGTCATAAATAAAACAAGTGGAATGAAGAAAAGTGGAAAAATATTTTTCCCCTCCATTACTCATTGTCTGGAGTTGTCTAAGGGATTTTTTTTTTCTTTTAATAATTTTCTTACCTATTTCCCAAACGAGAACATTCAAAACAAAGCAGTGTTGAAACAGTGATTACTTGGGGAGGTTACAAGTGTCAGCCTTTCCAGAAAGTCATCCTAGCGTTGGATGATTTAAAGCTCCAGGTACCACATTTGTAGTAAGAGGGAGGGTTTTTAAAACCACAGTTCAGAGCCTGCAGACCAGCTCTGGTCTCACCAATGCCAACCAGGTGTGGCCCAGCGAGCTTCAGCAGAGGGACTCCTGAGTTACACTTGGGAAGATGAGAGCAGACAGCAAATCCCGTTGGTGTTTCTCTTTTCCTCTTGCTTTGGATTTAGGTATCATCCAACAGAGATTCTGGACATCTTGCAGAGAATTTCACTGCCAAAAATTACATTCACAGGCATCAGTTTTGGGAAACAGAGGAGAGAAAAATGTTCTTTCTGTTTGATTAGAACTGCAGTTTCCTGTCTTCAGCAGTCCTCCTTGGTCTCAGCAAACCATTTGGCTGAAGAATGTCTTTTCTAGAAAATAATCTCTGTGATCATCCCCTCCCTGCAAGTGTTCAAGGCCAGTTTGGATGAGGCTTTGAGCAACCTGCTCTAGTGGAAGGTGTCCCTGCTGATGGCAGGAGGGTTGGAACTGGATGATCTTTAAGGTCCTTTCCAACCCAAACCATTCTGTGATTCTGTGATCACAAGGATTATTGCTCCTGCTTTCCTTTTGTTCCCTCTTTTAATCAGGACAGTTCTTGAACCTGGACACTGCTGAATATTTACAGGAGGTATGAAATCATGAAGTCACAAGTCACGGGGAAGCAGATATGTGACTACCCTCTTAAAGCAGGTCTTTTGACATAGCTTAAAGGAAGACTGGTATTTCATCTTTTAAATATTCCTCCTACACAGAAGTCTGCCCTGTATTATTAAAAACCAGAATGTTTTGAGCTGGACACTCACTCCTTAATAATTCCCTTCTGTGGAAATACTTCCCCAGAGCATTCTAAATGCATTTATCATCACAGATCTCTCCATATACTCTTCCTCCTGCTGTAAAATGATATAAGCATTTTTTTATCATTACCTACTAATTTGAAATCCATGCATGACAGATGTGGAAAAGAGCCTGGTTAAGTTGCACCACTGTACTCATTCTGCTCACCACAGCGCATTTTAAAATCTGAGAAAAATACCTGTTTTAAAGGGAAGGCATTTTCAAAGTATGACCAATGAGTGTGACGTGATGACTACATATGCAAGAACTTGGGTTTTAAAAAGCAGGAAAACTTGTAATCTGTGGGAGAAAGTCATGGGCTGAGCATGAGGACACAAGGAAAAGCTGAACTTTTCAGTAAAAAAAAATAAATTGGGATTTATGAATGGAGTGAAAGTGTCACTTTTCCACTTGGAAGCAATGCTTTTTGATTAACAAATTGACTCAGATTGCTCTGCAGTTCCTGTCATGAGTTGTTAGCTGGGTAGTACAGTGAGTTTATAGCCAACTAGTTGAACGTAACTAGTATAGTCAGCCCATTGATTATTAAACATGGTGTGTTACTAACCAGAAAACACTCGGGCAGGAGTTTTGTCATGAATGTCACTGGAGAAGGGTTCTTGGCCATCACGGCTACGCAACCAGAGTCACTGGAAAAAAAATTGTGTTTTTCAGCAAGATTACGGGCACGTCTGTGCTGAAGCAAGCAGCTTCACTAGATTATTTGGAAGACATCTTGATCTTGCATTCTTTAGTTCTGACAGTATTAAAACAAGCAAATTATTCTTTTCATTTCTTGTCTAATCTGTAATTTAAATGTGGGAAATATTTATCTTGGTACTGCTAACTGAATTTTTATACAGGATACTTATTTTTTTTTCATATTGTGTTGTGTATCAGTTTTCCACCTAGAGACCACGTCCTGTGATTCATCCAGACAAATCTTGCTAACTGTAAACTTGAGCATCAGGGGGCTTGTCATGCTTTATCAAAACTCGTTAAAGTATGGTTGTTAAGACTGAAGCTAGTTTTCTAACACTCAATCTTTTTCAATATTATCTCTTTACTAGGTGCTGTTCTGGATGAAAGCACTGGAAAGGTGTTGGTTGTACAAGACAGAAATAAGGTAAGTTTGTTGTAAGATTATAAAGTAGAGAAGTTCATTTAGGTAAGCCTACTCTATAGTATAAAATGAAGATGTTTTTAATTCCAGTACAAAACTGTGATAGTTAACTTGTGTGTGTCTTGGAACACATCAGTTTTCTGTTTTCTCCTGTAACTGACTCAAGAATCCCTGCAGACCTCTGGAAAACCCCCATGGCTGAAAGCAGATTTTAAGAGAAGGATTCTGATTTTGTTTGGTTTCAAGAATTCCAGGCATATCTGTGGCTTTAAATAAGCAATAGTATGGTTGGCCGTGACCTGGAGACCACCTTTGTACAGCAGGTGTAAAGATCATTAATTTCTCATGAACTGAAGTGCCTGACCTCACTACTGAGAATGCCAAACCAGAGAGTATTAGCGTGGGGATGGTGGGTCGTGTGATGTGGCTTGAGGTAACCAAGCATCCATCACTGGTCATGTCTTCCAGCCTCTATCAGGCTAACCTAGGTTTTAATCCAGCAAGTGCAGAAAGCTCATGAGAAGTTGTCTGTGCTATTCCACTTAAAATACACTTACGTAGCTTCCATTATGCTTTCATTTGCAAATTAAATAGAAGTGTCTCTAGTACAGTGAGATTAACTGCAATTTTAACATGGAAACAGTCAAAACTCACATACTCTAACTGTAAAGTACACTTGGATGCATCATTTTCATTTCATACAGTTAAAACTATGCCAGAATCTGGCTACGTTTTTTCTGCCTTTCCTGAAATAGCTACTAAGAGATTTCTTCTCAGGACCCCAAATATCACTTCACTTCATTGGTAACAACAACACAGTTAATGAAGATCACTGAAAGGGTGGTATCACAGGCAGGGTCCATCATACAGCATGTTGAATTTGTTACAAAAGAGTGCAGAGGAAGAGAAACACCCTTTTCTTGTTTCCTGTAAACTATTAATTTTATATTTTTACTTAAAATTCCAAGGGCTTCTCTGTAGCAGGACCTTCAGGCTGCTAATTACCTCCAGTAATTACCAATTAAAATATAAATCCAGCATGCAAGCGGTAGGCTCCAAAAGTGGTTCCAGTTCTAGCGAGTCTCCAGGAACAGAACAGCACATTGTGAACTGTAGAAATGCTACCTTATTTTCCCTTTATTTTGCACACAGAAATTACAGAACTGCGTACTTACCTTTTAGTCAGTATTTCAAACAGGTCTCACAGTAAAAACGGAAATTGCACATTCTGTAGGTTTAGAATGAAATAGTTTCCTAAGCCCAGGAGGCTTAAGCTTTACCTTCTTAATGCTGTGGTGTTCTTAAAGCTCACCCACAGCCACTTAAGTGCAGATCTCTCTATCCAGTTTCACAGTGAGGCATCAGATTCCCTCTTCAGGTTCTAGGTCCAACTGCATACTTACCAGCCATGCCCTCCTTCACCTCGAGCTCTGAAACACAAGAGGATCGGCCTCGTACCACTCTGCCCTCCAGCTCATTCTGAAAAGTGGGACGGGTGTATTCCAGGTCAACTACTTCAGCTTACCTTTCCAGAACAAAGCTGACACCTTTCTGACACAGTGAGGGAGAAAGGTGAAAGGGAAATAAATTATTGTGTCTGACTCCCCTCTTTACAGCTGTCTTTTATTGAGTGGACAAATTAAGTATAAAAACTGAAGCGTATGAATACCCATCCATTTCTTTTGCAGGGAACAAATCAAATATTGCAGTGCAAGCAAATGGGCTCAGACAGTGTCTGTTTCCCCCCGTCAGTTCCACCACTCCTCTCCCTTCTCCCTCCCCACACAATGAACCATTTCCCTGAAATGGTGACTTTTAATACAAATGATGTTCTGAAAACTTAAAAAGAAAAAAAATTAAACAGCTAGTGGAATTTTAAGAGCTGTTTGGGTTAATCATAAAAGGACAATTCCACAGCACACAAAGAGAGATTTCCAGGAACCGAAAGCAAATTTGAAAGCCAGTAGACAAATATATGTATTTTCCATCTGCACTATTTTTAATCTATTGCTTTAAATTCCTATCCAAGCCCTTTAAGAGTGCCCAGAAAAAAAAAAAAAAAAAAACATTTTCCAGTGTGTTCAGAGTGGGTTTCAATAACTGGAAAGAACACAACTTATGAATACCCATCCATTTCTTTTGCAGGGAACAAATCAAATATTGCAGTGCAAGCAAATGGGCTCAGACAGTGTCTGTTTCCCCCCGTCAGTTCCACCACTCCTCTCCCTTCTCCCTCCCCACACAATGAACCATTTCCCTGAAATGGTGACTTTTAATACAAATGATGTTCTGAAAACTTAAAAAGAAAAAAAAATTAAACAGCTAGTGGAATTTTAAGAGCTGTTTGGGTTAATCATAAAAGGACAATTCCACAGCACACAAAGAGAGATTTCCAGGAACCGAAAGCAAATTTGAAAGCCAGTAGACAAATATATGTATTTTCCATCTGCACTATTTTTAATCTATTGCTTTAAATTCCTATCCAAGCCCTTTAAGAGTGCCCAAAAAAAAAAAAAAAAAGAAGACATTTTCCAGTGTAGTCAGTGGGGTTTTCAATCACTGGAAAGCACACAACTTCCCTCTGTGCCTCATGTACATGAAAAGCAACCTCTTTTTTTTTTTTTTTCCCCAGAGTGTACCTTTTCACTGCATTAATTTCCAGTTCAAGGTTAACTTCTTCCTACATAAATTTTTAATGAGGAAAGAAAAAAAAAAGAATAGTATGTAGATGTAAAGGTAAAGCCTACAAACCTTTATGCAAGAGGTGCAGGAAATAGGATTCCTTTACCAGTATCAATAACAGCACCAAGTCTGCACTTCACATTCTGTTTAAGTACTGAACTTTATTGCAATTCAATAAATGCTTCTATATATAAATCACACACAAGGCCTCAGTTTCTGTATTCCATGAAAACAAACGACAAGTTACACTAAATGGTTATTAGAGACACACAAAGTCATCTTAAAGCCAGTGCAGTATAGAACAGTACTACAATCATAATACCTGTCTGTAAGATTAAATATATATACATTTTTTAAAAGCCAAAACCATGGAAGTGGAATACATCAGTGATTAAACATAAGATTACATAGTCTATAGCAGCTTTTTTTAGTATTCAACTACTCTATCTAGTTATCTAGCAGCAACGTTGTCTAATGACTGTTAGACAGTTTGTGTTTTCAATCAGTAGATGTGTTGTTCCAATGTTTCATACAGACTGTAGATATCTCCCATCATCACATTAGCAAGAATAAAGAAATTCTTACTTAAAGCCTTACTCCTGTTTGTCATAGTCATTACAATACTGCAACTCCAACCAAAAAAGTCACGTGTTAATTGTCTCCTTCATATCAGAGAGTACAAAACAGGCTGTGTGCTTCATTAATATTTTGTTTTCCTCCAATACAGACTCTAAATGCGTGGAAATTTCCAGGAGGTCTGTCTAATCCAGGCGAAGACATTGGTAAGTCCTAGGGTAACAGGTCAGATGTCAACAGAACTTTAAAGACATTAACAGTACTGAAATACAGCGTGACCCACGTCACTCCTGTGACTCATCACTTCTTTGAATTAATGGTGAATAGATGAAATTACATGATCCCACGACCTCAGTGGTGGTGGTGTAACGTCACATTCAGGGCAGAGAAGATTTGTATTTATAAAGTTTACCCTTTTCCACAGTTTCTCTTAAGTGAGTGCTTGAAGCCAGGTTTTTTTTCTGGGCTTGTTGGATATGCTGTAATTAGCCAGAAGCGCAGAGGATTAAGGTAATCAGTACATAACCCAAATCAAACTGAAACCACGAGCTCTCAGCTCATGCTGGAATCCAGGGCAGTGAGCTCAGTGATGTGCTCAGCAAAAGTTTCCAGCTCTCCGTTTTTACGTGCAAAACCGAAATAAATACACTTGCTTCCTTCCACCTTTGTTCATTTGATCTGTTTAGAGTCAGAGCTCTCTGGCACAGGCCCTGCGCTAAGTGCAGCACCCAAGTCATGTGGTCACCTACTTTAAACCAGAGACAGTGGGCACTTCTGTATTAAAAATGATGCTGATTTGAGGAAACCCATCATTTCTACCCAGCATAGCACAGGTGATGATGAACACTGCTGCAGTTATGTCCAGAGGCGAAGGGACAAGGGTGTTTATGAAAAGACAGAATATTGTGCTTTTTCTCCTGTATCTCACCCCTTAAAATTACAGTCCACAGGCTGGTTAATTCCTCAGTTACCCTGCAGTCAGCAGGTAGGTCTTGTTTTCAAAAGTTACATTTGCTCACGTTAACTTGGCCCCACACCAGTATTCAGATACGAATATATTCTTCCAATAACTCAAAAATGTAGAACTCAAAAAAGTTGCCCAGAGCAATGCAGCAGCTTTGCAGAAAAATCCTTACATCAAAGCTCTGGCAAACCGGGTATCAAGCCCAGGTTTCCAGTTTCATACCTTAGAAATAACTCCTGGTGTTAGCAGCCTTCCTACAGCGACATGTGCAGGGCTTGTACTCCACTTCATTATTTTAATACATGGAGAAGGTTTCTAGTTAGTGGGATATGGCTGAGTTGTAGTTTTTATAACTCACAAATCACATTTTAAGTCTTTTTGTCAAACACGGTGATGGAAATCAAAATTATTTGCTTGGCAATGCAAATCCATACAACATACTGAAATGGATCCATGTTTGCAGAAGAATCCCGAACGCCGTGCTTGTTGTCTAGCTAACAAACTTTCACTTCTAGGAGACACCAGAGGGGTTTTTGTGCTGAGAGAAAAGAATGGCCAGCACTGGCGACAGCTTCCCCAGAGGAATGCTGAGTAAGCCAGTGTCCATCCCTCAAACAACAGGTGATGTTATGGCTGCAGCCTGGATGTAGCTATAGAGAAACACCTGGGAGGAAACAAGTCTCCTGCTACGACTAAACTATATGATAATAAAAGTTATGGTTCTCTGCATCACATCTTAATATTACAAGAAGATATAAATTAGTGAAGCATAAAATATAACAGAGCTTAATTTTACTTTTTTTTAATCCTTACATCAAAGCTTTTAAACTCACAGTCATTCAAGGGACTCAACTTCCAATTACAACTACAAATTGCAATTACAACGCTTGAAGTTCCTGTGATTATATAAAGTGACAAAATATAAGGCTGCCTGCTTTAATGAGTACAAACTGACTTGCACAAGTAATCTGAATAGTTTCATAATGCAGATTAAGCAAAGTGCACACTTTTTTATTTTAGTATTTGTGAAACTCAAGCCCTAGTGTTTCTTCTAGTTTAACTATCATATTTTTTTAATATATATATATATATACACACACATTTAAATAAAAAGGAAACAGAAGAAGGCACTTTATCTAAAAGCAAAGCTCAAAGCTTAAATGAAAGCTCTAATTATTTCATTTTTCTTACCATAGCCTGCCTCAGCATCCCTCATGATCTCAGCTGTTTGATCACTTTGGTGTGATACAGCCCCTTGCCTAATGATCAAACCACTTGCCGCAGGGAATCTGCTTCACAACCACTATTTTAAACCAGAGGGCCGCAGAGGCAGCATAAAATGCCGTCTCTCCAAGGGTCAGTCACGATAAATGAGTATCTTCCTCCAGGTACTTCTTCCCCATATGCTTTTAACTTTTTAACCTTTTAACTAATTAATACTGTAATAAAGTCACAAATATAAACGTTCTGCAGGAACCATGAATGGGTCTCCAGTCCCACAAAGACCTCTGTGTACTTGGTGTAAACTTCACACAGCTCATTCCATTGCAAGACAGAAGTTGAGCTGAGGCAGAATCAGGACCATTAACATACAGTTGTTTGGCCTCTGCTGGATAAATCAGTTTATATATCACTAGCCACTGTATGTCCTGAAATTATTTCCTATATTTGAAACTACCCCTAAAATGTCCATTTTGTTCACCTCTGGCATGGCAAGAAGCACACTTCCATAGGAAGGCAAATCTCTACAAGGTCTTGTAAAATGGATTTTGCTTTTGGAAGTTTCAGTTTTTCTTACTGAAAATGAACCAACTGAAGCAGGTAACACTGCAGAACGTGCAGCTACACGCATTTACCACTCAAAACAAGAGTGGTTTAAACAACTGTGAGTTTAGATAGATTTGGAAAAAGCTAGTATTTTACCCACCAGGAGTTACCCCAGGAAAGTAGATTTGACTTGACTACAATGAAACTGCAGAATTTGGGGAAATTAGTGGAATATATATATAAAAAAATCTCATTTGGGCTTTTCAATTTAAGTTGCTATTGAAGAGAAAAATCTTGTTTTTTGAAGAGTACTGGATAGATGGGGAGTGCTCTGGCAGTAGCTGCAGCACACAGCCCCTCGAGACCCTTGCAGCTGTGGCTGCTGCTGTAATGAGGAACATCATTAGCATTTCCATCACTTCGGCTGACGTACACGAAACGTGGAAGTGCAGCGTGGATGCAGCCTGCTTTCTGCAGGACCAGGCTACGTGCTGTCCTGGTGGTACAGCACATTTCAAATGTCACCAGATGCTTACGATAACATTTCGAAAAGGACTTGGCCCTAACTTTCACTTTCTGCAAACAAGAGTTTTACCCTTTTTGTTACACTCTGTGGCAAAGTGCAATGACACTGAGTGATCTGACATACATACAGGTGTTCAGCTACACAGGGTCTGAACCTGAAACCGAGTAGAGGCAAGCAGAGAGATGGAGGCCAAGAGTCAAGGGACTGAAGAGAGGGTGCAATGCTATCTTGGATTAAGAGATCAGTGGAGCCAGTGACCATCAGAATGTCCGTTTCAAAACCATTCCCTGGACAGTGTTATCAAAGTTTTACTTTCATCGTGTTGTAGGATACGCACAAGAAAGGCATGGAGCAATTAGTTTTGTTCAGGGACCAAAAGATTAGCTTATCCTTGCGTCAAAGCAAACAGGCTTACATTCAGAAAGCTTATGAAGCAGAACAGAGAACACTTTGAGTTAGGAATTTTCCACGATCAAAAAGGTTTGAAGAGTGTTAAGCTATTCTTCTACATGTTGTAAGGATTGCTCTTCTCACCTAGGAGACACAGCAGTTCGAGAGGTTTTCGAAGAGACTGGCATTAAGTCAGAGTTCAAGTCCATCCTAAGCATAAGACAGCAACACAAACACCCCGGAGCCTTTGGGAAGTCGGATATGTACATCATCTGTCGCCTGGAGCCCTCCTCCTTCAACATCAGCTTCTGCCAGCACGAGTGCCTGAGGTGTGAGTGGATGGACCTCGATGAGCTTGCTAGGACAAAACACGCTACTCCCATCACCAGCCATGTAGCCAAACTCTTACTTTACGGCTGCCGGGAAGGGTTTGATAAGATCGATATAACCATGAGAGAGTTCCCAGCTGTCTACACAGGCCTGTTCTACAAACTCTATCACAGGGAGCTGCCCGAGTCCTATAGGAACATCACGTGATAGCAATACACTTCACATTTCATTATATTAATAATTTAGAATTATTACTGTAGCGTTATTTAGACCATATTAAAATTATCCATGGACTTCTTTTTAGGTAATTATTAGGAAGTAATTAACAACTCTATTCTCTAATAAGCTATAAATTATTTGTAAAGGTAAATATTGCTATAAGTGTGCATCAGATTGGTTTTCCTTTACTCTGTAAAGCAAACATAAGGTAAATAAAATAGCTCTACGTAGATAATTAGCAGAGAACAGAAGTGTTATTGATCCTGAAAAGACATTTTCCAAGTAATTTTACCTTCGCACACGCTGGCATAATAGGCTTGAAGAGCAATATCAAGACAGTATGAAACATTCATGTTTTAATCTGGTATCTGCAAAAGTAGTTAATATCAGCAAATAGTTGCGCATGTTTTTGCTGCTTCGGAGAGGAGTAGGAAACGCGGCGTCTTTAGTGTAGCGTGGGGTATGTGCTCGGAATCCGCCATGGAAATCAGCTTTTAGCAGACATGGGAAGAAAAAGGATAGCTTTCTGTCCGGGTCCAGTTTTGGGTCCAGGTTTGTACTGTCCAGTTCTTTTCAGTGCCACATACCAATCAGAGTATTTCCGTGATCGGTAAGTGTTATAGTTATTAGATTCCAAACGCTCAAAAAAGAAACATTCCTCTGTTGCACATTTCTAAAACGGAAGAAGAAAAGGATTACTGATAATCCATCACAACAGATCAATTCTTCACATTCATGGGATTAGCTTATCAAGAACCTAAGTTAGCAATACATTTGGTTTTAAAAGAAATGTATGTTAAATATTTCATGTTAAAAGAGTTATTGTTAAAATACGGTTTTTAACTACGATTCATTTATTGTCTCTAACACAGACCGAGCAGATTCTAGTTTGTTTCCACTATGTAGTTCTTTGTTCTGATCTGAAACTCAAGCACATGAAGAACCCTGTCCCTTGGCATTTACAGATAGATCCCGACTTCCAAGCTCAGCAATTTTGCCATCTCATCCTAGGTTATAATTTAACTAAAAAGAAAAGCGGGGTGCAAGAGGAAAGGGAGTATTTCCCTTGCCTTCCTCAAACCAGCCTTTTTATCAGTTAGAGAAATAGTATAGCATAGTTTCAGCTTTGCCTGTTCTTTTCCGATTATGAGGTTTAACTTTCCTAAAGCTAATTCAAGACTATACACTATAGTGCTCCAAAATGGTGGCAAGTCTGCAACTGTTCCAGATTTTTTTTAATACAAAACTTTTAAAATAATTTTAAGGAAAGATCAGACCTGGCAAGGAGGTCTGTTCCACACAGAAACCAAGCACACTCTACTAATGTTTAGAAGTACATCTATGGAATTATTCTACTTCTGAAACTAAGTCTTCAAAACCAACTCCACCTACATGGAATTAACATGCCTTCACACTTACCAATAAAAAAGAAAGTGGTTCTTCACACAACAGTAGAAGTTGAGCCGTGGAGCTCCTTACCGTAGTAGTTAATAGTTTCTCCCAGCTTACATGGATTCAAATTGCTTTTGGACAAGTTCATGGAAAAGAAATCCACTGGCGTTAACTATTATCGGTAAAAACCATTCCCGGCCAAGAAGGCCCCAAAGCTGAGGTTGGCTGGAGGCCAGGAGACCAATACAGGGAATTACTCTGTATGTCTTGTCTTAGACACTGTATTTGATCACCATCAGATAAGAGATCCTCAGCTGCACATAAAGCCCTCAAAAGGTAAGCCTGCCATGAAGCAGTACCGTGTGATATACTTTATTTCGCACATGGCAGAAACCGCTGCTCTCTCAAGGTGACCACACTGAAGAGAAAGTCTTCAAACGACCCCATTCCTATTGATGACATCATGTCAGGCCGGCATTACCTACCGCAGGACTTGAACCCACAAATTCTCCTGCACAGTTATTACTGCCTAGGGGACTGAAACCCAAGCTGATTTAACTATGACCGGTACTTACAGCTCTTCACAGTCAATAGAAAACAGGAAAGTTTATTTGCTTTCTGAAATCCATCACCAAGAAACCACATGGTTCCTGTCTACTGAACACAGAAGGACGGACAAACAGCTTCAAGGAAGATGTCACTCCGTAGGAAAAGGATCACAGATCCCTGTCACTGCGTGACGTTGCTCTCATAGCAGTCACAGTGGCAAACCACCTGCAGAACTGGCACTTGAAGCAAGAGAAGGTATTTTCTCAAAGACGGCAGGAGTTCAACAACACAGGGACTTACTGGAGCGGGAGGGTCACTTTCTTTTCATATACCCCATCTGTCAGTCCATCAATTCAGTCATACACATTTACCCAGAAAAGTTCTGGACATGCCAGAGGAGGAGAAAAGCTCGTCATCAAAAAGAAAACACACAAAATCTTGGAGAGGAGAGAGGGAATGTGAAGCAATTCCCTAAACAAGCAGGCTACTCTTTGTTACAATCTTCTGCTAATACTCAGTACACACAAACACATAGGGGAGAAGAGTAACTCTTCACATACGCCAAGTTTCTGTAGCTAGAAGCGATTAAGTCATTCAAATGCAGTCTGGAATAAAGGGATCTGTCTCCAAACATATGTCTTGAAGGTTTTTTCCTCCACTTCAGCCATTTTCAGATATGAATTTTATTTTCTAAGGAAAAGAACTTCTAAGAGAAAATTCATATGCCATTTTTCATTTCTGTAGCTCACTTATATTTTTACATTTCAGATAGCAGAAATCGAATTAACAGCTTTCATACGATTTGTATTTTAAATAATCTTTCTCAAGATAAATCGTATTTTAATGCCTTCCCTTCCAGCAATGTGAAAACAGATGCATTAATCATCTGAAGCCACAGATCCAAGCCCGAAATGGATTACAGCAGCCTTAAGAGGGCACAGAAAGTGCCTAAAGAAAAGCAGCATTTAAGAACAAAAACTTTAAGCAGCGTTTAGGCAAGTTCAGTACAATTGCCCAAGGTAGGAAATCCTGGCAGAGAGGCCATGGCAGCTGGCTCACACCTCACCTGCACCTCCATCAGGTAGATCTGATGTCTAACACCCATGGGAACCGAGTCTTCACAAAGAGCCCACCCAGCCCAGCTTCACCCTCCCCTAGGAAGGAAACGGCTTCCAGCATGCCCGCAGTGAATTTAAGCAGCCACTACAAAACCCCGTGTGCAGATGAAAGGTGAATTCACACAACCACAACTCAAAGAAATGCATTGGTTTTATTTAACCTTCCTCGTCTCTCTCAGCTTTAAAAAGTAAAAGAGATTTAACTTCTCAAACATGTTTTCAGGCAATTTATGGATGTTATAAAAACAATCAAAAAATGGTGGAAAAATAAAAAGATAGAGAAAAATAATATTTTTATTTAGGTTTTGTTTTTACATTCATAAAGATATTTTGAAAGGTGCCATGCGATTTGCTCTGGACACTCAAGTCCTTATTTCCCCACAAAGCATACATGATATCAGTGCCTTCCTACAGGAGGTTGACAATGACATTAAATATTTTGACATAAAAGTGAACATTTAGGTGATAAATTATAGTTCAGGCTTCTTGAATTATGTTTTCCTTAACATCTGGCAAAGGTGACATTTGGGAAGCTGGAATGCTGTCCAGCAGGAGCGGGATGCCAACCACCTGGAAAAGCCCTGGATATCAATGGGGTTTTTAAAATACACTTTGGTGTGTTCAGAGTGGTGACCTGGCAGTCAAAGCTTTCACAGCACATCACAAAATACCTGAACTCTCGAGCCTTTGATGAAAAGGATAAAGGAAGGGAAAACCCTTGGGGCAGTGGCGGGGAGCGAATGCCGCGCGGTGCCTGCGCTGCCACCCGTCAGTACCGTCT